TAAATGATCAATGCTATATAATAATTATTTGATAAATATTTAATAATTAATAAATGATATTTATATAAGAAATATTTGTAAATTTTATTTGGGGACAAGTTAAAATGCTAAGTAAAATTTAGATGTAATTAATCAAAGGAGGTATTAAAGTAAAATATATTGAGATTGATAGGTTTTGATGCTTTATTAGAGTCTGTGAATCACCTTCCCCTGAGACAGCCTATTTCATTAAGAAAGCCATCCTTCTTTTCATCCCTTAACATTTACCATCATCATATATTGCAGTTTTTGTTCCACCGTCCATTTAAGAGCACCCATTGGATATGATAGATAAATGTGAAATGTAAACAAAAAATTAGCTTGTGCAAAATAATCGATAAGAAATCAGTAAACATAAAATTAAATATTTTGTATCGTAATGTAATATGATTTTAATGTCATCAAGATGACTGCACGAACATTATATAATTAAGTACTAATTTTTGTGGCGACACGATATAATGATGGCTGTATGTTGTGAGGGATTATAAATAAATTATATCATGTTTCTTTCGCTTTACACGCAGAACATATATGTATGTATCAGCGATGAGGAATTCATTCTCAAAGAATCACGTCTTCGCAATGTACAATTAACGGCGTCTTAGATCCTAAGCATTCGTTAACATTTACAAAAGGAAGGCGGATATTCTAGAGAACACCGTTCTTCCTTTTTGGATTGAAAGAGAAAGTGTAAAATTCAGTTACAGAATTAATTGGTCAATGTATTTTGTTTGGGATAATTTGATATGCACTTTAATATACAGGTATGTGTATTTCGAAACAAAAGTATAAGATGTATGAAAGAATAGCACATGATGGTAAAGAGCAAACAGCGTATTTGAATGGAGCATGATGATGAGATAGCATCGATGTATACAGAAATAGTGGGAATTCTTGAATTCAACGAATGATCTCATTATTTAGAAAATGCTCCTTCTTTTTGTATTGTTGATGCTTCGCGTCCCAACAAGATGTGTTTATAGGTTTCGTTCGATTAAATTTTACTGAAATCATGCAAAAATCTGTGATTATGATAAAGATCATTTTTTGCTAATTTGCTGAAACACGAGGCAACATCAGATTGTTAATGTATAGTACGATCGTGTATATGTACAAGTGTATAGTATATATATGTATAGGATGGCCATGTAAAACATTACAAACTGTTATCTCTGAGAACTAGCCAGGGTAAATATGAAACATTGTTTCATTGGCATACTGAATAACTTAAAATGGTCTTTATTCATCTACATGACTCTTATCTTTGAAATATAGGTAGTTGCCAAATTGACAGATTGTAACATTTTATACGAGCCATTTGTATATTATATGTGCAGCTGTGTATGCAATATATTTTGCGTTCACACAATTAGAGTGTAATAATATTTTACACGTGAACGTTATTGATAATGCGAAAATGATAAATTACAAAAAGATAGCGAAGGAAACTGTCGGACACTTCATATAATATGAAGATGCGTTTCGCAATTACAGTGATGACAATGATAAGGTGAGTGTTCGAAGACACTGATGATCAACATAACAATTGTGTTGCGTGTATTACACATATGTGTTTTCTTTCTTTTTGTTCACTAACTACCAAACGAACATCTAGAGGTCTCCGACAAATTGAAGTTTTTAACAAGTGATATTAATGTCTAAGCAAGCAGAAGATCCGAATTAGGTGATTGAATCGATTTACTAGAGTAGATCGTCAAAGTTATTTCTATGTTCTGTGCAACTGACGTATCAAATGGCCTAAAAAGAAATGTATACAAATTCGGATATGTAGTGGATGAAAGACGAGTCCCTCCAGATTATCGATGGTCTTACGTTCGGCAATTTTTCGTATAGCAATTACGGTGGCGTCACATCGAGTCTCATCTTACACAATTAATCCATAATAATGACGATACTTCGATTTTATCTTCTTGTTTTACGTAAACAACGATACGACATGAAATGTGGCACAGTAATGATTTAACGACGATAAAACTCTGGTCAACTTTCCTCGTTTGCCTTTTATTCACGCACGATATCACCTTATATATATTATGTTCCATAATAGCTATTCCAGTTGGTCGATAAATACCACTGTAACAATCTTTATTTCATACTCGTTATTTCGTTCGTATGCTCGTGCATAGCATTTATCAATTTAATAATTCTCTCTTTCGCTGGCTTAACACTATTATATTATCACGTCACGCGCATTTCCTAATTTTATCGATCGAATCTTGTTAACGTTTGCACACGTCGCCAAACAAAATTACCTCTTTCATCAATTGATTTAAGGACCGCTAACTACAAGTAAATGATCACGATGAAGTTTATCTCAATCAATTTTGTACGTTGATTGTATTAGAAAACTTCGATAAGTGTCTAGACTTTGGAAAAAGCTATTATATATCGTTCTGTACGTTATTTAAATAATAAATTTCGATATTCACTATTTTATTTCAACCCTTAGAGTGCGAAGCAACTAGGATATAAGGACAAAATATGCATATTGATTGAATCTGATAAAACTACTAGTATAATATTGTACAATTTGGGTCCTGCATTAAGGATGAGTATATGCAAGTAAGCATGATAGGAGACGACAGCGAATTTTACCGGAAAAGCGGTAACGATTAGCTCGACAGGATTAATGGACATTAAAGGGAATCAACAAAACGTAAAGGCGAACCTATCGATGAAACGAGGAATTCGAAAAAATACCTGGCAATGCTGGCGTCGCGTGCGTTGATCGATCAAGGACAGAATACCATTCTTCCAAAGGCAAAATCGTAAAATCGTGCACACGTGTTCACTGGTGAAAAGAGACTTTTTCGATCATATAAACGATTCAGAGATAGAATAAGCTCTTTATGCGAGTGAACGAACGAAATGTAAACGTTTATTATCAATAAAGAATCTGGGATTTTGTATTATTATATCTTTTTTTTGTGTTGAATGTGCGTGTTTGACTCTGATACAATTGCTTTTTAAATTCACCTATGTATTTATATACTCGGAGGCTATGCAACGGGTTGTGTGGTGCCGTAAATATCATACTTCTTCTTTCTCTTCATTCGCTTGGTTTAAAAATTTTGATAACAACAACTATCGTACGTTCTCTCGGGACGATGAACATGTACTCTTTACTCTTCGAGGATACAATACCTAAGAATTACGCAGTCATCCGCATATGTACGCACAAAATTACGCGTTCCGTACAAGTATTATTATTAATAATTTTTATTTTTTTGCAAATGTGTCTCTTGTCGTATGGTTACAAATGTTATCCCTTAGTATGCTTTTATTTACGAAACACAAACATCCTGCTATTTTTTTTTGTTTTTTTTTTCTTTAATATATTTGTTTAAGTACAATTATATACGCGTCGTACGATTTTTCAAGCATAGTATTGTCAATAATTGTGTATATATTTTGTTCTTTTTTTCATTTAATTTTTTTCCTCTCGTTTGTTAAATGGTTTCGCTTGCTACACGTTTTCACGATACAGTGATCTGGAGTCTAGTTTTCTCTGTTTTTTTCTTTTAGAAATGATCTCTTTTTCTTTGGTTCTGCGTTCATGGTCGGTCATCGAACGCAAAAGTTCGCGGTTGACAACTCTCGTCGAACAAGAACTACGAACACTTGACCCTATTACTTACATACATATACCGCAATGCACGCGCCCTTTTCAAGTTCTTTCTCACTTCTTCGATTAGGTACTCTCTGAGAAGAATGATGGATCGATTCGTGCAACGAGACGTTCAATCACAGAAAGAAGTTATTTACAAGTATGTATCTCGCATTGTTTTTTCATGACTGTATAAATTTATCATTTAAATATTCGTAATATATATTAAAATGATTTACGGGGATATGCGTTTTCGTTAGGTAAAGATAGTAATACACTTGTTCTCCTATCTCTTTCCGCGGCACTTGTTTTAACCCTTTAGGGACTTGTTTTTCTGTTTTCTTCACCGTTTTCATTTCTTCTCTTTTAAATTCAAAAAGTTATTCAAAGTAATGAAATTCATAGACTAAACGCTAAATCTATCATTAAGCACTCATCTCTAAACACACATGGCATGCATCACGTCACGTATAGTAATCTATTAACAGTAGGTATGCATGTAAACATTTGCAACGCTAGAGTGATATCAATTTTACAAATTATGTACTAATACCATAATTATGTCGATATTTTAAGTAGAATCCAAGATAAACCACTCGAAAACTGAATTCCTCGCGTGTGAGTCCCGGCAGGGTTAAACCTTCCCTTATTTCGACGAATACAAATTATCGCGTGCACCCCTATTCAGTATTATTCAAACAGCGATGCAAGCATTGTTTATCTTTTGTGCAATCGTACCCTTAAGAGTTGGATAACGTGACAGAATAAAAAAAAAAACAAAACGTCAATGAATACTTCTATTTTAATATTATAGTGAAGCGCGCAAAAACCAAATATGATTCACGCGTAAATTCAACGTTTAAGGTTTAAGGGCGATGTATGGTCGCATCATTGTCCCGAATCCTCTCGTTGCTCATTAAAATCCTTTTCGAAAAATCTCTAACTACGCGATTCATTGTCCGATGAATACTTTTGCGTTCCCTGTATCAATTCTTATCGATAATAATCAACGGTATTCGAATTGTCCTCGTTCATCTAACTGTAATCGGTCATCTTGCGACACGTTGCGACAGAAGGCATTGCAATTTCTACGCTACTCGATCACAATCGCGACGATTGCCATAGTATCTTTCGTCATTGCACACCGACGAGACTCTTCGGACGTTTAACGAGTATAGAGAATAGAAATCGAAAATGTCTTTTAAAAGAGAAAAATACTGTTGCTATTGGAATCAGTATAGTTACGTATGTTACTGTGTGTATTCCTATGTATAGTATACAAGTATGTAATGCGTCTGCTTTGAATTTATATGTGTATGTTTCGAATGGAGATTTGGACAGTGTCTTCCAATAATGTATAAGTGTGAATCTGTTCGTCTCATTTTTTGTGGGAATGTACGTATGCGTGTACTTCAAGGGGTAATTATCACAGAATACACGAAATATTTTTTTTTTCATTAAGCTTACAAGATATTAATCGAAGCGGAGAATAGGAGGAAAAAATTGCCAGACAAATCCGTGTTTACGAAACAGATACTCTTTTTTAACGCGAGGGGAAACGCGCTAACAGAAGACTACTTCTGTTTCGTATCGACGGACTTGGCCTAATTGCCGAGCTCGCCAGCCTTTTTTCATTAATTAGTATATACATACTTAGGCAGCGGAGAAAATAGACATTTATAAAAATGAAGATGCCGGCGAGATCGCGGATCCGTGTTTCTCCCTTTCAATTCTACCAATTTGTTTTTGCATTTTTTATGTTTTGATATTTTTCATCTATATGCGCGTACACTTTTGAAATCGTTTCACGCTAGGTTTCTTTGTTCTATTTTCAACAAACATTTATCGATTTCGGAAGGGGTTGTGAATCGTCATGCGAAACGAAAACCGCAAACAGGTTTGATAATTGAAATTGGCACACAGATCCGGTCACGTCCGAAGGATCGACGTATTCTAATTTCATTCGTTAATGAATTAACGCGCTAAGTGCCTGTTGTTCGTGAAACGAAATAACTTTAAATTATCGAGTAACTCTCTTTAATTCTGTTCTACGATTTTTCATAATGAGATTCGAGGCGTATCGATTAGTGTGAATGGACGACCATCATTTTGTTTCGAGCCGTGAGACGCGTGATCGTCGATAATATAGTCGACGGTAAGATATTACAACTAACTATTATAAAACAGTGGGATTGCTGTCCCTCATAATGTAACAAAAGAGGTCGTGATGACACGCTGTAAATCCAGTAACATACCGATGTATTATTTTCCAGTTATCCAGTTATACGTGGACTTCCAAATGTCAGAACTTATTCTACAAAATATTCGAATAGAAATTGGAACATTACGAACTGTTCATATTATGTACAAATTAATTCAAATTTACTGTTAATACTTTGTAGAATGGAAGTATTTGCATTTTGGACTCCGAGTACCACTGATAAAACTGGAGAATACATCGGTACGTTATTGGATTTACAGCATATCATCATCGTGACCTCTTTTATTAAAGGTTTGAAAGACAGAAACTCCACCATCTTACGAGAGTTGTTATATCTTTCTCTCGACTATAAGGACGTTACGTGGTAAGATCAGGTAAGAGGTAATTTTGGAAAGTACGCGCTTGTTTAACGTGTTAATAAATGAAATTTCTCTATACGAAAGTTCCTGTAGCTGATGCGTATCAGGGCCATGGATCCGGTCATAGTAAAGCGCCTGATTTATATTACCTGTTTTTCATTTTTGCCGAATGTTTCTTTCCTCGGGTGGCTCTCTCTCTCTCTTTCTTTCTTTCTCTCTCTCTCTCTCTCTCTCTCTCTCTCTCTCTCTCGACACGAATGTCTCACGCAGTTGCGTACCAACGTTTAGAGACACTATACACAATACTTAAGTATTTATCTAGACGTACTACGTAGTAGAAACTTTTTTTTCGTGGATATAATCATGTAATCTTTGGAATTGTATATCTTGTTGGCCACGGGGGCCGGAGAGAATGAAATTCATTTAGTTTCAAAGTTGCGTGCATCTTTTTTTCGTGTTATCATTATGGTTTTCATATTCCGTTTTCGTTACTTTTTGTTTTGTCCTCATTATTCTCTTTTCTCTTCCTCCATCTCATTTAGAATTATCCCGGAAGATCCGATCGAAACTTCACGCAAAAACAAAGTTATCTTTAAAATTTTCGATCGACGCTATGTGCCAAACGAAGGACGTTAAATTTTTATGCAATAGATCTGTGTGATCTGTTTGCTCATCCGCCCTCAATTTTCTTGCTTTGACCTTTTTTTCGGGGAAGTATACAGAGAGTCGCGGATCGTAGTTTTTGTAACCCGTCGAACCGTTTCCACGAAGTAACGAGCCTCGATTTATGTACAAGAGTAGTATTGATGGGATAAGCAAATAGACAGAGAAGTATGTAGTATCGACCCTTTTTGTTTTTTTTTTCTTCGAAAGTTTGCGTCCCATCTCGTCGTTTGCAATGCCTATTTGGTTTTTGATTCGCTTACACAAAAAGCAATGATCGTCGGGAAAGTGTCGAAGTTACACGATTAAAGTTACCATACAGCTACCACGATATAAAGTTTAATTTCGAGAAGGGGTCTTGGGTCTCTTGATTCGTGGAAATGATTGTTTGTAGTTAGAATGGATCGTAAGACTCTCTATTGTAACGTATGTGTTTGTACGTAGATCGAAAATCAAAGGCGGACGGAAGCAATCATTACATTTTGCAGCGCGCACCATATCGTTCTACTTTATTTTCATGCTCATTTTCACTGGAACGGAGCATTGATTTTTTTAGAGTACCTACGTGCTGCGTTTCGTGCCGGAGGATTTCGACACTAGAGTAATGCTTGAAGCCTTCGAGCGGATCCCGTCTTTTTATTTTTAAATCGTTCACCAACAACAATCAGACTCTTCACGATTTCTTGTGTAATTCTTACAATAAGAACGTACTTTACATTACAATGCCTATTTTTTTATTACTAACGGCGCGCCCCGAGTGACGTCGCGACGCGCCTATTGGTCGTACGCAATGCTACATTAAACTGTTATTTAGAAAAAATTTTTTTTCGTCAACAATGTGTTTCACATATCTACAAGTAAACTCGTCTTCCGAACAAACGCCCTAAAACGTCGTCTTACACGAGGGTTTTTATGTGTATTGTATTTAATACGTAGCGCAATGCGTCTCCTCGTTGCAGTGCGATTTCTTATATTTTTGAAAACACCAATTCACATCCTCCTTTTCTTTCGTAATTCGCAATGCGTTTTGCGATCCGCGGTTGTCACCGACACCGATTCGATCGTTCCCCGTTTTTCACTTAAATTCGTCTTGAACCACGATTGTCGCCGCTTGCATTTCTCTTTTTATTTGGGAATCCGTACACAACGAGGTCTGATCGCACTGGACGCACTTTTTTTAACAACTAATTCGACTCGTTTTTCCTCTCTCTTACATTACGAATATTTACCAAAGATATTGCGTACTGGCAGCACTGTTTTCACGTATCGCGTCTATTCGGAACACTCTCCATTGATAATGAGGTTTCGTATCCTCCGTTCTCACGGCACTTATTCGAACAAAAAAGAAGTTCGATTGTGTTCACCAATCATCGTCCTGGACGTTTATTCCGTGTTACCGCTTCATAGTTTTCTTCGGAAGGGTAGAAGGAGATTCTTTCGGCTCTCTCGTCTCTTCGTTTTCCATTTCCTCTGGACGAACGTTTCGATTCGGGGGCTAATCATCGGCGTGTTAACTCGAAATTGCTCGTTTTCTCAATTTTGCTTTTCGTTCTCGTTCAGTTTGTATAGGGGACGGGGCTAAAGCTCTGTGATTCGTAAAAAAAAAGAGAAAACACGCTCGACTGGAAGCTGGCTACGAAGAAAACGAGAAAACATGGCGACACGTTCTCTCACCGACGTGACACAGTTATCTTTAGCAGCGAAAAGTATTCGGCCGATCGCGTCTTTCATCAGTAATTATTCTTCGTGCACGTTCGTTCCTTGCGCGGCGTGTGTCTTCTTGTATCATATTTATGCGTATTTGATATCACGGTGTTACTGCCGTTTCTTATTTTATTAAAAAGGCTTCATTCGACAACGACGGCCGAACGCTTCTATTTAGTGTCTCCTGTGGGCAACGCTCCTCTTTTTCCACTCCTTTCGAGCTCTTTCCAAACTCGAAGGACGCATCGCTTCTCTGTCGTGGCTTTAATGCTGTAAGCTTGGGCTTCAGGTAGGATTTGGTAATGGTGTCTCCTGCCTGATGTCGCTCTTCAGCTTTACGAACTCTTTCGCGATCTCGTCGTTGTTCCTTTGTGAGAGGATTCTCAAAATCGTCCAACCGGTCTCATCCATTTGGATACGTTTTCCGAGTGACAACCAACAGGCGCAGGAACCTTCCTCGACGATATCCTTGAGCTGCATGACTGCCACGCCGACCAGTCTGTCTTCTCTCGCGAAACAGTAATCCTTCACGCAAATGTGAAGCTCATAGAAGTCCAGTTGCTGCTGCTCATTACCGATCATGCTGTACATTAAAATAAATCCATTAATATAATAAGGAGAAAGAAAATTATGTCAACGAACAAGATCTCCTTAAGGGATCAAGCATGCAGTTATTGCATGCGGAGGTCTACGTAGAGTTTACCCCCTTAAGAAACGTTTTGAAAGGAATGAAAGTACTCACAAGTCGAAGCTCTCATTGAATTGCGGCGACCAATTATTGCTCTTTGATTTTGTTGACTGTTTCCTTTTCTTACCGGTGAGGTGCGGTCCGATCAAATTTACTTCAACGTACGGTCTGAACATCCCCGTGGCCAGCTGCCACTTCAAATCGTTTGCAGCGACAACTGTAAAACAAAATTCATATGATATGGTAATACCGGAGAGAATAAATTTATAATCCAAAAATACATACATATATTGCAATAATACGAAAGACGTACCTTTGACGGTGACCTTCTGCTCGCCGGTTCCAGGATGTGTGAAGAGGTCCACTTGAATGCTGACTTCTCCAACCGAGCCTTCTTCCGAGCCGGCGGTATCTGAAGCTTTATTAAACGAAAAGACAAGTTATGAGTTCATATAAGAAACTGAAACTGCTAGGCACTACGAAAGAGAAGGAGCTTCAATCGCTTCTATTCGTGGCTAAACTTCATAGTTCAGAATACTAAGATTCTATGCTTGGTGTCTAGTTCTAGAGCAGATTACATGCTCTAATCGTATATTATGCGTGAAACTTTGTCTCTTTGTATGGTTCCTCATCAGAGGAGACGAAATTTCCGTGTCGTCAGTACCCCCAAAGACGTATGAAAAGCTTTAAGAAGTAGAGTCTACGACGTGGAGTCATCGATTTAGTTGAAATTTTGCACATTTACAGATTTCGTGTTTCTATTTACGAATATTGTATATATTACAGTTTTACGTTGTGCGATTTCAGTGCGTCACCGCTGAGCCATAGTGATACTTGATATGTCACTAAACACAATCCAACTGGAGAGTAGAAATTGTAATTGTTAACAACTCGAAAGATCTTGAGTGTCTGACAGTATAATTATATATATGTTCGTAAACAGGACGAAATCCATAAGTGTGCAAAGTTTCAACTAAATCGGTAACCCTACGGTCGTGCGCTAACTTTGTAAGCGTAGAAAATTCGGAACATTAACATACAGTATGCAAAGAAGTTTACTTTAAGCTATTAATTAATTGAGTTGATAATAGTTTTCATCGTCTCCTCACAGGTATGTTACAAATTATAAAATGTATTAAAAAATCCATACACATTTTATCGGAGATTATAAAAATCGATTATGCATCCATTTCGTTGCTTATAATTAACTGACAAATTATGTGAGTATTGTTGTATACATATAAAGAATAGTAAATCATTACAGCGTAGATATTAATAAAAATTTCGTATAGTTATACCTCATTAGAAAGAATAATACAAGTGGGAATGGTGAGATAGTGATTTGGCAGTGATCAATCGAATAAGAATAAAATCTATAAGTGTTCACGTGTAACGTGTATAATAGAAGCCTTAAAGAAAATGATGAAAGGGATGCTTAGTATAAAGGACAAGACCAGAAAATGGCAACCTTTGAATTATATAGCAAAAGTTTATAAACTGATCACCTACAAATGTTTGAAATATATAAGCTTTATAACTTATAGAAGTACGTAGCCTGTAAAAATGTCTCGTTATCTTTAATATACAAAAGTAGCCAAATTCTATCGTTGTTCTTTGCAAGGTTTCGGTAATAACAGCAACAGCGGCAGTAGTGACAGCAGCAGCGCTACCTAATACAACTATCGATCACTGAGTGGTCTTTCATTTATTCTCTACCCTTTCGATTCTACCTATTGAGGCTGATGAACGATCGCCGTACTAGTATTGACTTTACGTCTCTATTCCAGTGGCTTCCAGCTGAAGTTTTATAAGCAACTGTAGTACCGAAAGGGTTTCGTTGATTTATTTTGCGTCTGAAGCATTCGTATATGATAAAATATAAAGTTTTCTGTAATTGTCATAAGCGGTAATTTTTTAACATGAATCATGTACAAGTAGTCAAACAGTTGAAGACATTGAAGCCAAGAAGAGACAGCTCAGTGAGTAATGCAATCACAAACAGTCCACTACGTCCTAAAACGAGCGCCTAGGTTCGTGAGTGACCGGAAGTCAGCGAAGAGTATCCTGACTAGCTTCTGCTCTAAAGGTGGCTAGTGCTCTCTTGGTACCTTGTCGACTCTCTCGACGAAGAGAGGGCTTGCTCTGGCGAAGGGGTTCCTCGAGGCTTTCCATACCCTCGGCTCCTTCCCCTTCGTCACCACCTCTCTCGCTGCTCATCGAACGCTGACGCTGACGTAGCTTTGACGCATTGTTCAGCGGCACTGTCGCGATAATTTCGGTTACGTCGTTTGTATTTGTGATAGTCGTTTTCCATAAAAATGTCGCGGAGTTTATGTATGTACGTATGTATTCGAACAAATGATCGTCCAGTGAAATGAGTGAGTCTATTTCATTCTTATTTATTTCCACCAGTTAAGTGAAATCCTTTTATAGCTTTCTATCGGTGGACAACTTTAATTTAAATGATTCATTCTTTATCTTTTTACTTTTAACCGTGTTTATATTTGACTTTCAATGTACAATTCCGATTTTATTATATGTACTGTGTGTTGAGAAACTGCGCAGTATGCGATATTTAGCGAAGAAAGCAGACTACTTTCAATAAAATAGTCCACAATTACCTTCAATAAAATAACCCATAATTTCCTTCTTTATATATAACTATGTATAAATAAAAATAAACAAAATTGCGATTACCCACACGCATATATTACATTTCGGTTCGTTAACACCATGTCATTTTACCTGACAATACTCGAATAAATTTAAAGGTGCGATGATATTTGTCAAAATGTTACATCCATTTATAAACATGTGCTTACCTTGGTTACCCTGAGATGTGACGAATGTCTTGACGAGAGTGTCCGTTGTTTGTGTGTACAAACTTAAAGCGTATCGCAAGCTTTGCAGTTCAGGCGACTTGTCTAGGAACACCCTCTTCAAACCATTTCCACCTGCGTGGAAGTAATTTTTGATGGTATCAAGGGCTACTTCAAGGATCGCACATTGCTTCGGTGAAAGGTTCTTCTCTACTTCCTTCGAAATATCCTGTAGACACACATGTATTTATTAACAAAAATCATCTGCACTGAAAAGTAGCATATATCAGGGGTGACTTTAGAACATGTCCTTTTCTGTTTCGCAGTGGGAAAACTGCTCGATTGATACCGGGGTAACTGTGATTCCCTACAATGCAGAAGAAGCTCGTCACCTCTGGTATATATTTTTTTTAATTGTTGAAACATTTACCATTACACCACTCAGTGCGTTCTTTACATCTGGTTTACCAGCCATGTGATTTTTGAACAATTTCGACATATCCTCTATCTTCGCGTTCGCGGCTAGATTTTTCGCATTATCCGTGAGATTCTTGAACATCATCTATAAAAATATAATACATGTATATCAATCTATTTGTCAGGTTTTATATAAGTGTATTTGAATAAGAAGTTCAGTTATTTCGAACGTACGCTCTTGTCCGACATGGGTGGTAAAACAACCGTCTTCTCAAGAGTTCTCATTACAATCTTCCACAATTCCTTCAGCAACCTTTTCAGCACCGATTTCTCGCAGGATTCGGCGTATAAAGTCAGACTTCCGTCGAGAAGATCCATTAGAGGTCGCAGTACTTGATCAGCTTCCACACTGACGTTGTTCTTTTGAGCGGGTTGCGACTGACCTCCGGACTTGATAGCTAACAGCAGGTCTCCTAATACCTTTACCGATTGCGTTATTCTCAGCTCCAGGCTCTTCGCGAACTGCACAGCGAGAACGTCGAGCGTCCCGTTCAGTTGCTGTTGGAGTCCGCTTAAGATATTCGCTGCGTCATCTTCCAGTTTCTGGCCGCCCATCGATTCAAACATCTTTTCCAGTTGCACTCGAAGCTGCTGGATGTTGTTCATGAGAATGCAAGCCTGAAAACAAAGTAAAATTGTTACTTCAATATATTTGCCTTAAAATTCGTAACGTAGAAAAATATTATAACGATGAGTATCCAACATTTAAACTTATGCTAGTGGATTATTAATAGGCGATTAATAATAATACATACGATTCGTTCTTCCGTCAGTTGACTCGGGAATTCTACCTTTACAATATCCGTGTACGCTATCAACACTTTCACGATGGTTTTCGCGAACCTCTTCATATACCTTTTCCAGATTTCTGGATCGGGACATTCGAGCTTCGACACTACATCGAAGCATTGTGTTAATTGTGTGAAGACGTCGACGACGGATACGCTGAACAGAGCGTGCTCGCTGCTCTTTTGGAACTGTAATTATTACATTATATGTTACTTGTCCATCCACAAAAATAAACGGACTAAATAGAATCATACTTTATTTTCAGTTGTAAATAATTACATACAAATGAGACTCGTACGTTATTCTAACGGATTTATATTTTTGAAGAAAATACTTATTCTGATTCAAAGGTTTTAACGAATCGTTCGAAAGGAAATGAGAAAATAAGAAATGAAGATAGTATGTACTTACTCCGTCCTTTTTGTCTCTGCTAAAGGCACCATGGAGATATTCAAGTGAGACGTCATCGTTCTCATTTAACCACTGCATGACGAATGGTTCGAACCATGCCGGGTACTCAGGTACCGCACCCTTGTATGGTGGCACATCCTTGACATAGTTGGTGTGCAACCATTTCACCTTGAAGTGAAGGTTCATGTAGAACGAGGACTTGCACAGTCTGTGTTGCTCGTGCTCCTCCAACGCGTACTTCATGTCAACCGCGAATAACGACCACATCGTTGCCGCGGACAGTTGACCGATGTTCAACTCCTGCGGGAACTGATTCAGAACAGGAGCATAGCTGTTCTTGTCCTCCTCTATTACGGAGACGATCAACGCGATCAATTTGTGCCAGAAGTCTAACGATTCCAGCCGAGGTCCATGATCCTCCGTATCTCTCTTCGCCTCATTCGGATCCACTTGGAATTCCCGGTTGTAGATGTCGTAGCAATTCTCGAAGAGGAATTGATAGGTCGAGCGAAGACAAGCTTTTACGCAATCCTTTACCACCGTGCTGGCTCGCGGAGGGCTGGAAAGTTCAAGGACCTTCATCCTGAAGAAGGTGATGCTGGTCAGAAGGTCGACCGTGCTCTTCAGGTCCATCAGCTTCTCCTGACTCGAAGCCGGGAAATTATTCCGGTACATCGACAGATCGATTCGTAGAGAGTTGTGCAATTGGTCCAGTAATTTCACGAACTTCTCTTTCTGGAACGGGTGAAATCGACCGTGAAGATATATTTCGCCCGTGTATTGAATTTCCGTATATTATGTTCCGGTTTAGGTTTGGGGAAGTTTCGTTTTTGGTGGGTTATTTCTTTGAAGAGTTATATCTTAGGTAATAGAAGAAATATATTCGAGTCCTTCATTTTTGCGTAGCCTAAGTTTGGAAAAATATGAATGGAAGATTTTATAAAAAAAAATGAAGTTGTATAAATTTAAAAAAATGTTATGGAACAGATTGTTCGAATTCATATTTCAAGCTTGTTCGTCGAATACTGAGTTCTCCTGTTACCTCATACGCACAGCGGAGTTGTGCTGATGATGCAGTTACATAAGAGAACCGTATTGTTGAAAAATGCATTGATAATCGAGATCAAGAAGAAAACCGAATATCCTCAGGAAGAGAGCATTCATGATCCTTCGGGAAAAATTCGGTAAGTGCATAACTTGTCGAAAACGATTTCTACGAAATTGCCCATTGACATAAATAAGGATATGTGTTTTTCTGGATGTCGTTCCTTTCGATATATTTTTTCGATAAAATGCCCATTATTTTATTGAATAAGACTCTCAACTCAAACACTAAATGTCCTACATGTCATATACATAGTAAAAACTGGTTCTAAATGAAATTCATTTTGTTATCCGAACTTGGTCTTTGAATAACATTTTCTATTAAGCCTCTATTGTTAACAGGACACTAATGATAATAAAGATATATAACTCAATCTATCGCTACAATTCACTTTATTTGCAAGGACGAACTTTCCTGCCAATCGACAAAACGCGTTGTCGTAGAGTAAAAAAGTCGAGAAAAAATCTTAATTAAAATCTTAATTGCATCTGACGATGTACGTTCGTGTTTTCAATTTCCAACAACGAGTAGCTGTAATGAAAAGGGTGAATAGACGAGTCGGGAAAGAAGAACGGTTTAATCGAAAGATTTAACAATGAAATTGATAGAACCGCAGGAATATTCGTTCCATTAGAACATTCCCGGAGCGACTATTTCGATTTGCTGTGGGAACAATCGACTTTCTAATTTTTTTAATCCTTAATATTTTATCATAGTCTGTCTATACTATGGGTGACAAACTATAGTTTTAAATTAAATTATCCATGATCTTGTATATGATAAAATTTTTGTTTAAATTCTTATCACATTAAATACATGTTCATAAAGCTGCCAGTCTTTTTTTTTATGAGAAACACTTTTTCTAAAGTATTCCTATCTCCGGGATCATAGTACAATTGTGAACATAGGTTTTAATCCAATTTTGTATATCATCTACCGAGAGTGTCTCTTGGTTTAAAGTTTTAATTAAGAGGACTTACCCCGAAGTTGCTGGCGGCGAATCTATCACTGGCCGAAACGGCGGAACTTGCACTGGTGTGGGCATAGTACGCGTTTATATTCGCTAGCAGTGTGGACATAACCGCTGGCACACCTGGGCACAGGTACTTCGTGGAGAGGCAGTGAAAATGTCTGAGAGACAACGGAGCAATAATTAATCGACATTTCCTCATTGATTACCACCGCGGAAACAAATAATTTATTTTCCACGTCACTCACGTCATAGCTTGGTAAATGCTCTCGATGCCGTATCTCATCGCGAACTCGTCGACAAGTTCTTCACCCGGTGGATCGAAGTAAACTTTCCACGCGTCGTCACCCTTCGCCTGGGGCAAAGCCACAACGCCGTCGTTTTTCTCGCATAGACTGTGGAAGAGGTTTTCATGCAGGCACGTGTATTGTACGTGGTAAGGCGCCACCTTCTCCTCGCCCTTGATCTCCACGCTGATATGAAGCCTGATCGCTCCAGAAACAGCAGACTTGTCCGTTCGCTTTTCCAAATTATACCACACGTCCATCTCGCCGCTCAATGTCCTTACTTCGATGATCGTCTGACCCAGAAAATCATCGCTTTCTCTGGTGAGCTTTTGCCTTAATTTCGACTTCAGGTCATTGTCCTCATCCCACACTCTCACTTTTATCCGATCGGATGAGTTGTGGCATTCGCTATAAACGGTAATCGAGGTTCATCGATTATTCAAAACTGTCATACATTAAGTACATAATGTTGACAACTTTAATCAAAATGACCAGAATATTGTAATAATTAAGATTTATGATCAAGTGCACGCACAGTATTAGCATTTGTAAGTGAGCTATCCTCGAAAAGATATCGAAAATATCCATTATTGCTTAAACAATAATGGAACTGGACAATTAACTTGTTATACATGCTTATGTACATGAAATAAATTGCGTTTGCTTATTGTCATTTTCATTAGTCGTTTCATCTTTCTCATTTGACATCAAGTCACGCAATACCGATATTGCGGTAGGTAGGTATTCCTTGCGGGATCATAACGAAATTACTTACAAGTAGAACTTTTCATGCCAAACCGGATTCAACTCTCTCGGCATCGTCCTGGTTCGTTTCTTCACTTTACCGACTTGGACCGTCACGTACGGGTCAGACGTGCCACTCTTGTCTTTCGCGATCAAACCCTGGGCGCAGATCACTGCGAAAGTTATCGATTGTTAGATTAATTATCTCCTTCGGTTTGCCTGATGCGATACGCGCTTCCGAATAATATAGTACGAGAATCCGGTTCCCAGGTGTTTCGTTCGAATGCCACTCCCCTTACCCGGGAGAAAATTTAATCGAACTTTATTGTACGCGGTAACAAAGTTCTACCTGTTACCCAAAGCGACTCCAAGAAAGCGAAGAAAATATAACAGAATAGAGTTTTTCAATGCTTTTATCTTTTATAACAACAGTGTTGACGAGGTTCGATGATCATATTCGTTTAATATAAAGATAAAAATGAAGATTTCTTACATCCGCCTAATCAAAGATTTAATTTGTTCATGCTCTGTTCCTTTTGAGCGTATATCAAAAACGTGACGAAACAACAAAAAATAAATAAAAGCTGGAAAATCAGTTTTACTTTAGCAGACACTTAACCGTAAACTGGAAGTAATGTTTAAAAAGCGTTTCAGAATTTTATTTCGTTTCCGAGAATGCTTTACGCACTTTGTAGCACACGAGTTTGTAAAAAATTTCTGGTTTCCGCTCCCGATTCTATGAAGCCGCATGAACTTTCCTCGCAAAATGTAAATTCATTTCAGTTAGCAGTTTCTGGTTTATTTTCTTTATTGTACTCTCAGAGACTGTGGTAACAGGTACTATGTATATAATAATTGGATCAATATCCGTCTCGTACTACGTTTATCTTGAATTCAATATTGCATAAAATTTTAGTAACCAATTACATGTTTATTGCATGAATTCAGAACAACAACGGTTTAATGATTCTAATAGAGAATTTACCAGTAAAAGTTGTAACGTTATGCTTATTTATCAAACGACAATTCGTTTTCTGTAATTAAACGATAATTAATGGAGAAACGGAAACCGAACTGTATGTATACATATAATTAAATATGTATGTGTAATTATGGGGATTTATATATATTTTCGGACAATCATACTGACAGTTTCATGCACATCTAATAATGTGACAACCATTGAACTCAGCACTCTGAGCTTACGTTTCTTTTCGACAGCCACCTCGTAAGCGTGCGAAAGCTCGGCTTGATTCGTGTGGGGGACATAACACTTAGCAAATAACGATAGTCTACTTCAAAGTAGTATAAATTTAATAACAATCATTTCAGGAAATGCGTGATTTAATTTAGTACTGTATATGCAAATGTGCATAATTTCACATAAGACATATATTTTGATATTTTTATGATCACCAATACTTATATTACTTATTATATTCAAGTGAAAATTGGTAAGCATTAGATATGAGCTTTTACCTATGTTAGTATATTATATACTTAAGAATTTTAGGAAATTATCTTTTTTAAACATATGTCAGTCGATCTTCGTCACTTGGAAGCAGACCACAGTCTGAAGATAAATTCGGGAGTGGAGTGTATATGCATATATGTATACATATTCATAAATATATTGTATATGCATATGCATATGGTGACAGACACGTATATGTGAAAAATATATACACATATTGTTCGACGTTAAAACGTGCTGCGATCAGGACAGACAGACAAACACACATGCCCATGCTACTAATTCCTTGAAAACTCGCACCGCCGATTGCAGCGGGGACGATCGCCGATGCTTGCCCCTCCTCGACGAACGTTCTTTCATACCTAATACAATGCTCGTTACGTCTTCGATTCATGACGGTCAATCTGTTCTCCACGACGTCGACAGACTGAACTGTGCGTGTAGGCCTGGTGCATGTGTTTATGCGTGTGTGTTTGTACGTGTTCTGTTCTTGTAGTCGAACGAAATCATCGTGTACCGCAATTCAAATGTGTAATTAGATTGTAATTATTGTAAGTCGTAATATTATTCGTACCTAATAGCATACAATAGTAGTATATAATATGTATGTAATCCTAGAAAATATTGGCACATTTGTATTTTTCATGTGAGATCATCATTAGTGATTTAATACAAATTTACTTTCTAATAGAATGGTTAAACAAATTTTAGTAGTCGTATCACCACCTTTTATAATAATGTGTAGTGTAAGCTTGTATCAACTAGTATGATATCATATCGTATTTTGCACTATCATATGATATTATATCATATTTTGTGTGGATCGTTATAATTTATTTGGCATGGCGCTCACCGAGGGGAATGGCGCGCATAAATAAAATTTCCTAAATTCGCGACCAGCTGGTTTTACACGGGATGGTGTCCTCAGGAGAGCGTTCTTTTCTAAATCGGTATATTCTACGGGGAGAGAAAAGTACTCTAAAACTGGCTACAAGGTAATCTTACGTAAGGGCGCGAAACGTATCAGGATGTGGGTAAAACTCGTGATACAAATGGACACAATTAGTAACTCGATAGAAATAAGACGAAAACTTTGGTTCTTGCAAAATAAAAACTGCGAACATTTCACTTCGACGCTTCCTATTCTTAAGATCGTATCTCGGCAGATTTATATCATATAGTCGTACTTCACGGTAATTAAATTCAACACGATTGTAATTCATATAATGGTGCGACAACATTATATTTCAATAGTGTTCAATATGATCGTAACTTGAATAACGATGCAACAGCAATGTACATACATAGTACGATTATATTATATAATAGGAGGCATCGACGTATATTTTTAATTGAATACTCTGTGGACTAGTTTTTGCAAAGAATATATTCAATACTTCTACGGTCATTGGAATTGTTCTATAATGATACTTTGGTTCACGGATTAACACGTTCACGATTAGCTGAACCACTGGTGGTGCATAGACAATTGTGAGAAGTTATGAAGAAAAACCAAAGTAGCCGCCCTTGAAGACGTCGCGAAATTGTTAATCAATTACTGCTGTTTTGACTTTGTAAAATAAACGGTTCTGTTTTTCAATGTACTCGACTTCTCATCTGAAAACTTTCGTCCTATTTTTGCACGAGAAATACGTACTATGCTTCTTTGTATCACAAGTTTTCTCGCACGCCCTACGCCTCCGAGTTTCGAGTCAGACAATGCCCAGAGAAATGAGAAGGAAGATAATCACTAGTAGGTAATTACGTTTCTCGAATTTCAAGCCCGTTTCAATCGTCATCTATCAGTTACGATTTCCGGCTGTAGATCGAATCGACTAGGAATAATATGTCTATGTTGTTGCAGTGCTGTACCTGGCTTCAGTCAATCAGAGTTTCAATTAGCCAGTTGATCGATTGATAGCTAATCACAGGTAACAGGAGTGCGTGGATGCTCTGATGAAGTTGTATTCGTATAATTTTATATGTTTTAGATATAAAGCAAACTGTTACTACTAATAAATGAAATTTTTCGCAGAATTATTGCGTTTTTGATAAAAAAAAAAGTTAAATTTAGGAGAAAATTAAATTAAACAAATAATTAGATTGCACGATCTGGCTCAAAACTCTGGACGTTTCTTCGAAACTAATTATATGTTCATTACGAAAGTAAGGGGAATTAATATAATCGAACTATAGTTTTGTATCTAATCTAGATAAAACTGCAGGGGGAAGAAGGTAGATAGTATCTATTTCACTATTGAGAGAGAGTTAGGACACTAAGTCTGCATGATATTGTAAAGGATTGTACAATGAATTACTAATCGTGTTCAGTCTTCGATGAACGATCCATTATTTGCTCGTTTGTTGCTTTAGATATTTCCTAGAGAACGTCGAATGTTTTCTTTTTAGTTCGACGAGTAGAATTTGAAAGAAAGTCAAAATAGCTTGAGATCAGACGCAAAACTTATCATTTTTACTAACAATTATGTATCATCTTTAACTCCTTAATATTAATGTATACAGCAGGACTACAATTTATAGAAACAAATAAGAAATTATAAATTCTTATAAGTTTCAGTGAGTGAATTATTGACTATATAAAATAAATTGAGAGCTTAAAGTTCACATTCTTCAAAATAATTAATAATTTCATAAAAAATAATATACAATTTCATGACTTATCATTCCTGTTATTGAAATAATACCTGTCTGTGTTATTTTAAATGGACGGTAGAAGATAGAAGTATAAGGATAAGCAGAATAACTTGATTGAATAAACAGTGGTTAATTTGTACTGTCTAAAGTGGAACCGTATGTCAAATATTCGGAATCATAAGTGCTTGTTTTTGTGTCAAAGCTTGAAGTTTAAACATTTGACCACTAGCTGAATAATAAATATGCGGATGTACATACATGTGATGTATTCCGATAATTATGGTTTATAATTTAAATAACGTTTGAACTCACGTTAAATGGTAGAACTTTCATACAGACTATAAAGTTAAAGATTGTTGATATACTCGTTAAACATAATTTTTCTGATCTCAATTCACCTATTTAAATGTCCATTGTTTCTGACTTCATTATCTTATTTATTGTCGACACAATTGTACATCGTACTCTCAAAATTTTCTGTGCCTTTGATTCTAATTTTTCTTTTTTATCTCATTGTTTCTCTATTCTGTTTTAAAATTCTGAAACTGGCAGCTGTGATTCGCAGTCAACAGAATGGAGGCTTTAATTTGCGCCCACTGATTCAACAGATTTGATTACTGGGGCGGATGCAGAAGTAATGCCGACTGTTAGTTTCATCTGGATACTTTACGACCTTTCCGGTCTCGATGTTCTTTTCTAGGTCTTCTCAGTTCCATCTTCCAAACGTGCTGGCCTATTCGAAATTTGCGATTATTTCAGCCGTAGAATGTGAAGAAATTTCGCTGCGGAAGCGAAGCTTCAACAGCGGTCGATTAGGTGCATTCAAGAAGTAATAAGGGGAATAGTTTTAACTACGTTTTTGACTATTTACAATATCTAATACGAATAATGAGCTCTTCATTTTTCATGTGTTTACCAGTACTTAGAAAACAGTAAAATACATGTGAAAGATAAAGATCTTTAAGGACCTGACGACCTTAGGTCTTATGAGACCTCAATGTGTGCTTGGCCGGAGTAGAATTTTCGACCACGAAAAACATTCAACGGTGCGCGAAGCTCGAAAAGAGGAAAAACTGTTGACCCGCTTCGTGACGAGGCAGCAATTACTCTAATGATCGTACTCCTTCTTCTCACAGGAGGCTTCATTTCTGTTTCTCCGCTCGTAGTCCTACCTAGGAATGGTTTAATTGTTGTAATTGTTGAATGACCGACGCAACCGCGCTCTAAAATAGCTGCGCGAATGGATTGCCCAACTTCCTTTCAGTTTTCGACATATTTCGTAATTTGTTTCTGTCTACAAACTTCTTACATATTTTTCCATTTTTACATCTCTACAATATGAATTTATAAACGACAATAAATATATTGTAAAGTACTTCCTATTGATTAAACATAGGCATTACAGAAATAAACGAAGCTCGATACGAATCTTGTAGTTAATTATTATCACTTCGTTGTTAAATGAATCGCAAGGTTCAAAGAAATTAAATCGATAAACTGTACGAAATGAATTTATGCTTTGATGAGCAGCGATGAAATCAGTCCAATTATTTCAATACTAATCAGTCTTTTGTTTCAACGTCTCTCAAGATCAACAATTAACGCTGCTTAAGGATGTATTGGCTATACAGTCAATCCCAAAAGTTTATGTACCTTAGAAAAACGCATTTCATATAATTAAAAAGAAATTAGACGTCAGAAGAACAATGCTAATAATAAATAGCTACGTGCTAAAAAGTATAGAAGGAAATATCCAATTAATTATTGACGCTGGCGAGAAGCTTTTTATACGGAAGTTGTAAGCACTGACATCAAAGGACATGACAAAAAAGGTTCTATGCATTTTTCTTCTAACTCCAGTATTTAACGAGTTAAGTACAGTTAATTGGCATTTTATTGGCATTGACGAAATCCGACCGTCTCACCGTCGAAATGGTGAACTTTTGGCAAAAAATTTTGTTTTTCGTTAATTACTCCTAAACCGTTGAATCTACGGGAAAATTGTATAAGACCTTTCTTGTAGAGGACGACGAGATCTACAATTTCTGTATAAAAAGTTTTCGCTAGCGTCAATAGTTTACGAGTTATTGACGAAAAACGAAAAAACAGTTTTTTGCAAAATACTCATGAACTATTGACACTAGCGAAGAATTTTTACATGGAAATTGTAGATC